ATTTTCAATCGTTTAATGAAACATCGCGTTCAATATAAACACTAGTGGCCGGATTCAATTTAATTAAATTCGGTTAGTGAAGAAAAAAGGAAGAACTAGTAATATGTTGTGGAAAGTTAACGAAGAGAAGCAATTCTGCCGTGGAAATGCCATTCTTGGGGACGCTATCGTAAAGTTGGAAGACTCGCGTTATCGTCCTCGCGGGTTCTTGTGTAACGGAGAAACCGCGTCTGAGAACAATGTTTTCCTTCCATTATGCTTAATTGGACAGTGTACAGTTCCAGACGGGAAAAGAGCATGCTAACCGAAATCGCCGTGAGCGTTGGGAACTTCTCAGCGGTCCAATATGTTGGCCGAACTTTGGCAACTATGCGCCGGCAAGGGAAAGAAACCTTAAAAGTTACGGTGAAATTAGAAGAGCAGCTTCTAGCCATGACACCACCCGCTAGCAGCTCGTTGTTCCCACGATCCCCTGTTACCAACTTTTCGTCTCTGTGCAAGGTTTTGGAAAATTGGCTGAACGAGAACAGAATAAATTGCGTCAACAAGGGAACCATTCCATCTTGTCGAGTTACATAAATCTACTTTCGATGAGTTCATCTACTTTTCTGGTAGCTACGACGTGGTGAGCTTAAAATTTTTTAAGTAAAACGATACTTTTCCTCTCAATGACTATTATTTTGTTGGATTTGTATATAGTGAATCACGAAAATATTTAAACATTTACCACAGAAAATTTTTTCGAATGTGTTCGGCGTATTAAACAAAACCTTTTGGAATTTAATTCGTCCTATGAATGCACAGAAAAGCATTTGGAGGAAGTTACAAACGTCTTCTATTCCTGATAGACAATTTTAATATTTTGAAGAAATTATGAATGAAAGAACTGTACTGACTTCGTTTCAAGAATTTCTCAATTGTAGAACTAGCAATTCTTATAAATCTAGAAAAAAGGAACTAATATATTCGTCAGAACAATGCATTGAATCGTATGAACTTACAGTTGTATTTAAAATTAGGAAATTTCATGTACATTGGCCTGATGGAATTAATTGTAAAACTGTGAATCTCATCAAGAAAAAGTCGCTGAAATTAAATACCGCGTTCTCGCTATTCAATCTTGACAACTTTTTCAATGTTTCGCTGGCATTCGCGCTTTATTGCATTATGTATCACAATCACTTAAGTCTGATCACGAATAATCGGATCATGTGTCTCCGTCATCGGCCCCTTCTCTGCTCGCCGCTGTTTTCCGACAGAAAAAGCAACGAGCATCTCGAAGAAATTCCGGAATAGAGAGAACCGCAGCCCATAAAACTGTATTACGTGGAACCGCGCGAAAAGGGTACGAGTCGGAACAAAGGAGCCGACACTCGGTCATGTTTCTTCGTCATATCGTAAAAACACAGTAAAGGGAAGAACATCTGAACGACCATCCGCGTTTTCTGCTCATCGAAATGAAAGAAAGTTCGTTGCCCGGTGACGGATAAACCCGTGTCGAATTCGAACAACCGAAGCAAACGAATTCGGAAATCCCTTTCCATGTTGATCTATAGGGAATATGTGCTTAAGTATAGTCACGTTTCACCATTGACTTTTCTCTCGAACCTCTGTGAAAACGGGGTTAGTACAGGAATATGGCATCTGCTCCAGAAATAATTAATAAGTTTCATTAAAAAGAAACATTAGAGGTAGTACGAGTTGTACATTTTTAACGAGATTTTCGCTGCTTTTCACAAATATGTGCTACGGTTTTAACTAGTACAATCCTGACTATTAATGCTTCCTGACTATTATGCTATATATATGTATATATATTGGGATAATATTGATAGATAATAAATATAAATTAAAGAGAAAGAATGACAAATATTTTACACACTGCGATATTTGCAAAACAAAAAACAATATAATTTTATGCTAACTATAGGATATTTAAAATAAATACTTTAATTTCTATATTACCCATATGACAAAATGTTACGAACACCTGATTTTTCCTTGGTTTGCAGTACCTCATAGTGAAAAGATGGAAGGTAATAATAAGTTCAAAGAACAGAGTGAACGATAGGTATCGACGGCAGTTCGAACGTCAATCTACTAAGTCTAATAAATTAGATCTACTTAGGTTACATGACAGGTTTAATAAGATCTTGATAGGGTTCTTTCATGTTCATCTTGTTCTGTGTCAAGTATATCATAGGTATGTAAATACATAATGTGCGTATATTTAATAGGACATAGATATTCTTCGCTGGAAGAAGTTAAGTTAGTTTTCACTATATAAATGTAAATGGAAATTTGCCATTCATAGAATTTTTATCTTCTAGTCACTCTACAGGGTGTTTTTTCTTCTTTTTTTTAACTAGAAAGGTTGGAAAGTCTCGTACAACGTTGAATGTAAAAAAACATCGTTATAATAAAAGTTATTTGATATAAAAGCAGACAGTACACGATGTGCATTACTTTTTTCTATCTCTATAAGATTTCTGTATCAGAGATTATCTACCTTTCTAACCATAAAGTTAGAAAATAATAATGCAACTAGAATTGCACAAATTTATTAGAAAAATAACTTGTTTATCTTCTTTCTCGATGACAGTGCGCGTCATATATCATTTCCTATTGTAAGAGAATGTCATCGTACATTAACTCAGTTTACTGGTTCGCATCGCTTGTATACGGCCTGTTTTTCCAGACCGCGAATTCGTCGCGTCACCGACAAACGGATATTTGTCAATGAGATTGCCTTTACGACTGGAACCCGTGGAACGACGCCAAATCTCTATCCATCGAGTTACAACGTGTACGCGTGACTTGCTCTGTTTGCGCGTTGCCAACGACCACGGTAATCTATGTATGTTTAAAGCTAATACATAATTCGGCTTAATAAATCGAAGGGCTTAATTTGATAATTAGTTTGGCTGTTTGTGGCGTGCGAAAATAATTATCGTGTTTTGCGGCATTTCTGTAACCGATTAATAATCGGCCGACGTTTCGCGTTCCGACGAGTTTCCACTTGTCACTTCAGCAACAATTATTCCTAAGCCATTCGATCGTATAATTACGTTCGTTTCGCGATTGCCTCGAGCCGATCCCTGCTAGGCTAATTAACATCGAAGGAAATTAACGATATTTGGTTTCAATTAGTCACTGTTATTCGATTGATGGGAATCGACAGATGTACAGCGTTTACATAGAACAGAGAATCTTTTTTCTCGCTGAACAATCAAGCTGGTTGAACTGCTTAATTCTATTGTGGTTCTGGAACCTTTTGTCTCGATCTCTCTTTACCGTCTTCCTCGTTTCGAAACTGCATAGAACTTATTTTATTTATAGCATCTTCGTTTTTCTTCGTACACTCTAACTTGTTTAATCATTATTTCGTAACAGCTTAATGGAACTTTACATACTGAAAAGAAAAAAGCATTGGCAACTTGAAATATTTCAACGTATATCGAAAAGTAAAAGAATATTAGGTAAAATATTTTAACTAAAGAAAGCAGATTAGTTTCAGGTCTAAAATTCATGTTTAATGTTTAAAATTCTTCAGCTCCAAAATTTATTTCTTAATCTGCTAGAAGTTCGTAATCTTCGGAACACAAAGAACAGACAAAAGACGAGGAAAATAAAGGAGTTACGGAACGTATCAACTATGGAAAATAATATGCAGAAGGATAACATTGTTAAGAAAGTTTCCTTGCGCGGGACACGCAACATTGACGAGAGTCAGATGCAAACTGGCACGAAAGATCTGCAGCGCGGAAATGCAACTCTATTTTCCATGTCAGAGCGGGGCATGAACTCTGAAAATAGTTGGCGCAGATTCCAGGTAGCTCACGAAACAGGCGGCGACCACAGGAAGATTCTATAGAAGTTGGATTATCTTCATGGTGTTTCCTGTTGGGGAAAGTCTTCGAAAGTACATCATGGATAATTTCAACTGATCTACATAACTGCGCGTGTACGAGCCAACAGAGAAGAAGAAAATCCAGTTCCCTTGTAATTTGCAACACATATTCAGCAGAGCATAATTCTTCTGAAACATCGATCTTTGACTCGCCGATAAAGATACAAAAATTCGATTAGTTTACAGTTTGACAACGTTATAAGATGTCAAGCAAGAAGATACCCATTAAGGAGGTAATTACCACGTTACCTGGTTAAACTTTAACTAGCATTGAAGAGTCAAAGTAGCTGAAGAACTCTGCTGTTTACCTTGCGGTGCGTATATTCGACTAACGATGATAACGAAAACTCCAGTCCTCGTTCCACCTAACAACTATTTGACGATTCATTCATTTTACGCTCTACTTCAACTATTACTTACCTGATTACTTTGCAAATTTATCGACTATGTTACCTAATTACGTCATTAATACAACTTATAGAAAAAAAACCGACTTACTTCCACGAATTGAATTTATTACGAACAAATTTACCGTTGCGAATTTATTGAACAAATCTATAAATTATATTTTATGGACAAATTTATTGTCATTTATTATTGCAAAAAAAAGAAGAAAACTAAACGTAAATCTCAAAGTTAATTTAGAAAAATATTTGTAACATCGTCGCTTTATTCTATTTTCCACTTCACGTAATTGATCAATATTGTTTCTCAACTTCTATTCCTACATATTCTTCACCCCCTCAATGAAATCCCATTGCCCCACATTACCAACACTAACATCCCTAAGCAACCGCAACGCTGTTTCATTTTCGACCAGTAATTCCCCGAAATTAAACGACGCAACTGTGCAAGGGTGAAAACAGGGCGCATGGGGTCGGAAGTAGAACGTGACTGCAATGATCAGATAATCTCCGCAGACCTGTTTACCCGCGCCGAAATTGAAAGCGCTTTGATACTGGAATGATGTCACCAGGGAAAACAGGAACAAGATCGGTCGAGTATACGAGAAAACCGCGACATTTACAGAGGAAACGGCCGCGTTTAATCGTAGAATGGACAAACGCTTGGAATGGAACAACAGACTCACCTCGCTTCGAAGCGTGAAAACTGTCCTGCGGTTTTATCTGCTCAATCTGGGCGCTGAGACGGGACTTGGGCAGGATATCTCGGTTGGCGTTGATCTTTTCCACGGCATAACGAAAGGCCACTTCTTGCTTGTCGTCCGAAGGATGAAACAGCCCACCTGGGAAATCACACATCCATATTAAAGCGCTACTTTGACGGGAGCGAAGCGTGAGAGTGGTATTTCTTATTCTTCTCCGACCAGCCGCGTGTATCTTCTTCATTTTATTTATCTATCCGCAACATCGGCTGATTGTCCCACCTGTGGGAAAATAATGCAGTCGAGAACTTTATCTCCCGCGTGCGCGCACCTTTCAAATATTAAATATTTATCCCCTTTGCCTTCCCACGACGAACAGCAGATTTTCTGCATTTTCTATTCTGTAATCTACCGAATATCTTGTAGCTTTACACGTACACTACCATCCATAAAGGACTGAATACTATCGTGCAATTCGATCGAAAACTTGATATTAGAGCAAAGTTAAATCAAATATAAATTTTAACCGACATCGGTGTCGCTATAGTTCGTCGGTCTAATTCGTCCCTTCGACGGTCGGATTCGTCTCTTTGTATTTTCTAACTAATCTTTTTGCTGGTTTATTTTTAACTAGTAGAGTTTCATGCGAAATATCCCTACTTCAGTTCGTTGAACACGGATCGATAGGATTGAGAGATTATAATGAATTACCCACGTGGTAAGTTAAACTTTCTCTAGAAATTTCAGACTGATCGCTTCAGTCGTTCCAGAACACCGCAATCCCCGATTTCGACCGGGAAGGCAGCTACCTTTCAGGGAAAATGCAGCGAATTCGAGTTGCCAACAGGAGAACGGCCGCACAGTTCTCGCGACGTTAATATGCAATGAACGTAAGAGGGCAGATAAAACGAAAGTAGGCCAGAAAAAAGAGACAAAAAAAGGAAAGAACGGGAAGATAAAATGAAAAGGATAAAGGAAAGAGAAGAAGAACGAAGTTAGAGCGGCTGGTACTATATGATCACAATGAGAATTAGGAATTTAAGAATACCTCGATACCGCGCTTTGAAATTATGATTTGTTCGAGAAAGTCCAACTATGGGAAGAAGGATCTTTTTGACGACGGTTATTTAATAACGCACGATACTTGCGTCCGAGAAAGGAAAAGAATATTGCCGATGAATAATTCACGCGGCGTTAAGCGTTCGGCGAATAAGAAAACCTCGAGATTCCTGTTCGACCGCGTAAACGTCGAACAAGTTCAATCCTGGCCGAATTCAACGCGATAGGAGGAAGGAATTGGCGCCATAAATTGATTTTAATCTCGTGCGCGTCGTAAAGTAACTTAGCAAACCAGCTGCGCCAACCTGACTCTACAATTTATAGAATTTACGCGATAGATTTACGTCTCTCGTTAAAGGTCGGCAATCGATTAACTTTAAGATGGGACATAGTTCGAGTACTGTGTTCTCATAAAAAAGCAAGAGACTTTAATAAACGTAGTACCGCAATTTTAAGTAAAGCTACAGTTAAGGTAGATTCTGATAAACTGTCCTCTTGACAGTAAAACATCTGGAGACTAAAATGCAAATAATCTTAAGAATCTGTTAGGTCATCAAATAAGTTCGCGTTTCGATACATTCATATTCATTATGATGTTTTTCCATTATGATGTGATTATATGGAAGGATAAATCATAGTTTTAAGATTCACTATTGTAATATCGTGGACAAATGGCCTAAGAAATATCGGGTGAACTATAAACAATGTCGCGAGAAAGCCTAAGTGCTGACAGGCACATCAATGTGTCGTCGGTCCTTCAGTCGAATAATTACGCGGAAAAAGGCTTACAGGTTGCGAAATACGTACGTGGTGGGGCTATGAGAAAAGACAAAGAGATGCTTAAGGGAGAAAGACAAATTAACAGTCAATGTGAGTTGAGAAGTCAGAGTGTTGTCAGCGTTGTCAAGGAGGGTGGTCCGCGTAAAAGGGAGCTTTGGAACCATGGTGACGAGAGTTGTAAATTAACTATTTAATTGTCTTAGTAATAGCACATTACTGTATTTAGTTCACGTTAAATAACCATTGTTTCCTGCTTAATCCATTTTAAATTTGAATTTATTAGCGTGCCACTACAAATAAATAATAAAATCCTACGCTATATTGTACATCAATTGCATATTAGAATTCTCTTGTTTAACTATAAAGCGAACATCAGAAAATCAAGAAAAATTTACTTATCATGTCTCTGTGCTATAATCTTTGCTTACGCTCGGCAGTGCGGGTCGAGAGCAAAGTGTGAGTCAATGTCTCTTTTTTAATTACCAATAATTTCGCAACGGTTTTAGCCAGACGCAACGGCGAAATTAAAGCTAGTCTTGTTCCGCGGCTATTCACTACGACCTGCCGGAAATTTCTCGCGCGAGTAATTAAACTGGCAGCGCGGTGTTTTGTGTATAACGTTAGCCGGATATACGGTTGGCGCGGCGTATCGAAGCGGTATCAATTTGCCGTTTTTGTTTCGCAGTCGAGAGTTGTCGAGCGCGAGGGGCCGACGCGAAATAATTCATTAACAATCAATGAATATTCAAGCCCTATTAATTCGGCGAAACGGCGATGGTTTATCAGGAAAAATAGCAGAGAAAGGGCGAATCGAAATGCAACTGAGCTCGGAGTACAGTCACATGCGCGCACTCGAGTACTAATCGGCTGGTTGAGATAAAGTTTCGAGTGAGACTTGCTCGTTTTTACGTAGATCGATGGTATCGGCGTTCTTTTTATGCCGGATCATAACTCCATCGTCGTGCGATTAAACGCCCCTCATCGGAACAATTCACTCGTTGATGAGTCTCGACGAATCGGTATATATATACCTATCTAACGATAACTAGTTCCACTAGAAGATCAAGGTTTTACGACGAGCCTAAGCTTTATCTTGACGCCGTGCCGTGGTGAGCCAAATCGACCGAGATTTACAACCGCCAAGATTAACGCTTCCTTTCGTTTGGTCTCCATTTTATTCCTTTTATGATCCATTTTATTCCTCGTAACCAAGACTTTTTGTATCATGGCGTGGAAAATTAATTATATTATCTTAGAATGTAAAATACTAAATATAAAAAGAAATGAAGCTCTCTAATAAATGCAACACGTAAATCTCCTAATATCCGTTGTCAGTAATGTACGACCTTTGTCCGATATACGTTCAAACTTGCAAGTGCTCTTGTCAAATATGGAAAACTGTCGTGCGGTTTTAGTGCATTCAATTGTTCGTTTTGTGTTCTATATAAATATATCTTCTGCGAATATCGATTTCTAACGAACGATGGATGTTTGCAAAAAAATAAATCTGACACAGTAATAAACAAATAAATGGAAAGTAAAAACGCATAGCGGATGTTTCGTGTAGAGCGACAGAATACGTATTCATCGACAATAAGTTGCATAACGTCCGCACGATGGTTTCATTGCAACGTTAGATTGCAACGTTAAACTTCTAGCAGACACTATTGTTCGCTGGAATCACAACGTGATCATGACCTATCACTTTAACGCGGACATCACGCGTACAGCGTTATTCACAGTCTCTGCATTCCGGGAACGTTCGTGATTCTGCTTGTCTGACTATGCACGAGTGTTTCTACTTGCGCGACATTTAGAAGCGAGGCCACGTTTTTCCCTGCGATACTATTAATCTTTCGTATCGTGATACCCGTCCCGAGTAATACGCGAGAAATTTTCCAGATATAGAGGAAGTGAAAAAACAAAATATTTATATATATATTTGTGGTTCAAGCGAAGTCTAAAATAAAATGAAATTCGAAAGTCAGAAAATAGGGTTGAAGACTTCGCTTTCGAGAAAGTCCGGCTTGAAGGCTCGTCGAATATAATGAATTTACCCAATGAATTCACCTAATTAAGTAATTTAATTCTCAACTGGACAGGAACAAGCAGTTGATAGGGGGTTACATGACTTTAGGTGCATGATGTAAAAAACAAAGTGCAGAAATAAAAGAATTTGCCGACCAAGCTGCATCGTTGGATTTGCACGAGACTCGCTTTCAATAAAATTCCGGAGCACCCTATCTATTTAATTCCGCTTAAATCATATTGCCCGATCATCTGCGTTAATCGCAGCGACATTCTGCTTAACGGATTACGCGATCGTCCCTTTAATTTACCGTGTAATCGCAATTCTAAATCCTTGTCGGGCTTCTGAAATTCCTACGCTTTCGGTAAAGGGACGTATCGATTACAATTTCGTCACTGTGGTGTCATTTGCCGCGTGGCCCAGGGGTGAAATGGTCGGCGAAAATGAAACGAACGAGAAAAGCGGGGTAGAAAACGCTAAGGGAAAAAGAAAGAACGAAAAAGAAAAAGAGTCTAGAGCAGAGAGAAAAAGGGCGAGAGAGCTAGAGCCTTTTAACTCGAGAAGGGAGACTGGAAAGATACTCACCTATCCTAATGATATCAGGAAGAGCCGCGGCGTGGGCGGCGAGGAGCGCCAGCAGGAGCCACCTCGCAGCCATTTCCGGTTCCGGTCCGCCCCACCGCCTCTGCCCCCTTCGCCTCCGACGCCACCGCCTCCCCCTGCGCCCCCCACGGGAGCCTGCGCCTCCCTTCTGGCGGAGAGACTCACACCGCTGGAAAACAAGATGGGATGGTGAGTTCATTAAAATGCAGTACGCAAAACCTTCGCGTCCGGCCCTAGAATATATCCTCTGGCGCGGAGAAAGAGAGCGAGGGTTCACGTTCCCTTCGATGACATCGTAACGACCGGCGTGCCACGGATTAGAAGTCGATACCGAGCCCGTTCGGCCTGTTGTCATCAAACGGAAAAGAGGACAGCGGATAATGAAGTAATGGTGTGATTCGATGTTTGATAGGATTGAAGTTTTTATCGATCGCTTGTCAACGTTTCTTCGATCGTCATACTTCGATATTACGAAATATTCTAAAGCGTAATTACTTTGGACTTCATGTATCTTTTTCATATTACTTATTAGAATTCTCTATAATTGCATAAAAATCCTGGAATAGCAGAAATTCGGAAATCTGAGAATTAGTAAAACAATTTACTATTGACTGCGCAATAATTGTATACAAAATTGTTTATACAAAATTCAAATAGTTACAAGGCAAAGCAGATAGGCACACTATAGTAAGTTAATTTACATTTACATTCATAAAACTATCATTAAATTTCTATTAATCCAACATTTTTATACCATACATCACAATTTCATTTAGTAAATAAGAGAAAATAATTGAATAGAAGAATGTTATATGTACCGTATAAATTGAATCTAGTGAATCACACGTCCATGGAAGTATACCATTTTCTAAAAGCCGTACCACTGAAGAGCATCCCTTTCATCGTCCTACACGACAGACTTAAAAAAAAAAATCGGTGTCACAGAGCAGCAGCCAGCAAGACGCGACGATGTCGAAGAATAAGTAAAACAGGGCGGAATAAACCCAGTGGAAAATAAAAGCAACGACTGGCGCGCTTTTTTCTAAGCTTCAGCTCGAGGCTGTTCTCGCGAGCATACAATGTGGACGCGCGGTTACAACAATGTATAGGTACGTGTGCAGGTTTTTCCACAGCGTGGCAGGCGAGGAAACTATGGCATCGTAACGCAACAACCGAAGAAAATAAAGAAAATAAAACCCGGTGAATGTGAGCAGAATCTGGCGGCGCGGCGTTGAAATTTCATGTGGGCACGGCGGGAAAAAATTTTTTTTTCATTAAATTCGACCTGCGGATGAAGCTTTCTGCTGGTATTTACCAGATCCTCGCGGTGATTTTTTCTATTTGCACAGTCTACACTTTTCCAGGTGGATCTCCCTTTTCCAAAAAATGATTTTCAATCCGTAACCGGTTCCACGACTATCCCCGCTGATCGGAAATCCTCCATAAACAGAAAAACGAACGTGATCTATAACAGGGTGAATGTAACGCGAAACAAACGAAACGAAAAAAAAAAGATACAGTAAGTCAAAATCGTGGATTGGATTTTTTTCGCACGAGTTTTTGTTTTTGTTTGATACTCGCACTATCGATCTGCGCGAAACCATCTGCACGAAATTGCAAACGAAATAGCGCGACGAATTTAACGCGTTCTTAAGCGCTTAGAGTTATAGACTTCGACGTGTAATTTGTTTCAATGGATAAAGTATAATTCATATCTTGCATGTAAGTAATGAAAAATTGAGAATTATTATGGTACGTTGGATATTGTAGCGCAGTGAACTACGATTTCTCGTGACCGAGATAACTTGATAAATATTGATAGGTAAATCAAGTGCAAATAATCTCGTAGTCAATACGTATAAGTACATCAGCAAATAAAAGTGATGCTGCGTGTGCAGAAAAGTCTGTCAAAGTGAACTGAGTAAATTATGTGTATTCCACTTAGATTTTGAGTAAAAGGAAATTCATCCTTTGCGTAAATAATACGGAGGAGATCATTCTACATGAGAATATAAGTCGAAAAAATCGAATGAAATCATCCAAACCCTTATTTCCAAAAACGTATATATTTAATTACATCTAAGTTTGATGGTTTTTGCTGTAAATTAATGTCTCCACATATATTTCTATTTATTGTAGTGGAGAACAGATAATGAAATAAGATAGTGACGCATGATGAATTTTATTACCTTATAGAAAAAATGTCATTTCGTAAAAATTTAATACGGAAACCAGATTTTAATAGAATGGCGAACATTTTTAAGAATTTCTAATTAAATTTATTGTCCTCGAATATTCCATTTCGCTGTGTATTTCCCACTATGTTCTATGTCTAATAGATGATATTAATATTTAATAAAACATAACTTTTTTCATAGATATAAAAAAGTGCGATGCTAGACCTATCCAAAAAAGATCTCAGAACAAAGATGTAAAAGCTTTTATTCCATGTCCTCAATTTCTTTTTTCATCTGGAGTACATTCCATTTGTACCACTTCCTGCATATCAAAATAAATCAAACCGATCGTACGCTATGCTACTCGAAATGGTAGGTTTTTAGTGAACATAGATCGAGGACGCGTGCAAACACGTAAAATTAAGAAGTGAAAATTTAAAGTCCCGCGGATTCGTCTGCAGGGAATCAAGTATTCAACTACGAGTACTCCAAGACACTCATCGCCGACCAATTTTCCCGTCTTGGCAGCCAATAATTCTCTTTCTGCATAATTTATCATTTTCTTCTCTGATTCTTCGCCAGCATGGTGGAGTGGCATTCATCGTGAATGGCGTGACTCGTTCACTGGGGCACATTCGTAAATTTTCAATGCATAGACGAGCAACGAACAGGCAATGATATACGCGCGCCCCGGCAATTGCCCAATTCCCGAAAGTCGACAAATCGTTATCATAAATTTGAAAATTACAATTCACTGAGCATGACGTCACAGCATCATGGAAATTCACGACAACGCGTATTGGGGAAGCTTTAGAGATTACGATGAACGATGTAGAAATTTATATGCAATCGATATTTTTCCCAATATCTCCCAGAATGCGGGAAACGTATAAATAATTCAGATGCGGCTTATTCAATTCGAAGTTCAAAGACACACGTTTGGTTTATTACTGGAGATACGCAACAATCTTTCATGAATTAATTTGCTTCTTAAAGTTGCGTACAAGTAATATCGTATTTTAATTCTTAACACTACGACAAACGACCTATAATGTCTAGTCAAATATATTATACACAGTGTGTGTGTATAAATGTGTATAAGTGATATAATAGAACTAAATAGTTGTGTATAATAACATTTCAATAAAAATCATTAATTTTGTTAATAATAAATAACTCCATTCCTTTAATAAAGTTATTTTCTTGTGAAACAAGAAAATCTGAAATCCATTAAATGATAAACGTATAAATATATTGTTTTCGGTAAAATTGATTCTAATCTCAGAATTTGATGTCATCCGTTAAAAGAAAAGCAGTTCAAGAAGATATTTATCCTACAACCTAACAAATATTTAGTCCTAGAGAAGATAAACTCGAATCATGATAAATTTCTTAGTTAATTAGAAAAGTATTTTAAACAATTTTTAATCTATAGTTCATGTATAATTGCAGATGAAAGGCCGTAATATTCGGCAATTCAACCATTTACTATTCCCAAGACGAAATTAGAGTTGATAGTGAAATCCCAGCGAGGAATCAGATTGAAACGAACCGCGACTTTAATCTGCGCATAACAAATCAGCCAATTATCAGCTAATTTCTCGTGACCGAATTCTCTTTCCGCATAATTTATCGATTTGTCTCAGTGAGTTGGTATCTTTCGCGCGCATTGGACGTGGCTTGTTCGTAGGCCACACGTTGTCGCACATCCGTGAAATTTCCGATACACGCTCAAACGTCCGAGATCCAACGATATCACGCAACAGGAATATACACGCCAGCAACCGTCATCTCTCTGTCACGAATTCCCCATTGGTTTTCGCCGTTTCGAGTTCCATGCCAGCCAGGTTCAACCACACACGGACATTTGCGGACAAATAGCCAGTTACCACCGCGTGGATGCATCTTGGTTACTGAATAAGCTTAGTAGAATTCATCGCGTGACCAAAAGAAAAGGCTTGTACCAAGAGAGGAGACAATAAAAAGGGATAGTTCTAACACCATAGTCGTTCGAACGTATGGATTGAATTTTAATGAATCTCCTTTGCCTTTGTACCTTAAGCTTTGCACAGATCCTCTCTTACGATCCATGGGTGCATAAAATTTTTATGCAAACACGGATCATTCGTCTCACCCTCGGTTTTCCTTCCTTCCTTCTTCGTGGACAGCGCGGTGGCTATCCAGGTTTAATCCTACGTTCACCTCGTTTCTTCACGTAATGGATAACGAGGTTTACGTTCCAACACTTCTTTCTCGATCAGAAGATTGTAAGTTGGCACAGAGAGACGTTTTATTCTTGGGGGAGCTACCGTGACACGCCTCGACGAACGAGATATCCACGGGTTATTTTTACACCCTCTTTGTGAGCTTTACAGAGAGCAATGAACTTACAGGAACTCTTTGATTAAGCACAGCTAGTTTCTCGAACGACAAGGTAAGTAGTTGATAAAAGTTGATTCGATGCATAAATAAAAAGTATTCACACGTTTTTTTCATTTTTGACAAGATGTATTTTAATTACGATGTTACGGGTGAATCAAACTGAAATGATTGTGTTCCTTGTAATCGTCATAGCTGCGTATAGTGGAATATCGTAATGCGATTAAATCGATGTTTGTAATTATTAAATCCAGTAAAATTGCTTTATTATTTAAAAAGCTCTTTGTGTTTTATCTCCTCTTCTATTCGTTTGTTTTACCTTAATGAAGTTCTTTTCTATTTACGGAAGAATCGAGTTTGAAAAGAAGAATCGAGGACAAAGATATTTTTCCATACATTCGTAGCTGAGGGGAGAAGAGAAAGGTATTCGTGCCCTCTTTACAAACGTTTTCTCCTCTTGAAAAACGCATCGCCGCCGTTCGTACAATGTTCCTTACGCTTTCTCTATCTTTCCATTCTCGTTTGCATCTCAACGCCCGGACCATGTCGCTGAAATCGCTTTTCCGTATCCCAACTTCCCTTTCCGCGATGAGTCACTTGCCGACAAAGAGAG